TTGTCGCAGTCGAGTGTTTATTGTCTTTGTTTTATCATTCAAAACGTTTATATGTTCTGTTTACTCAGTTACAGCTTTAATAGCGATGCCTTTGTCTATATAAGGGACTTCCTGGAGGGTCATGCGTTCCGCTATTTCTGTGACTGGATATGTGGATTTTCTGTACGAAGGTGCCCTCTGGCGTCCAGTATGAATGAAACAGGCATCATGTGTTTATAGTGCTAATGGCCAATCCATCATTTTTGGGGGGATTTTTTATTTATTTATTTATTTATTTTTTAATAAGTATTGGTTCAGGCACCGTTTAGGCACGGGAACCATTTTAAAAGTATCGATTTGGCACCGGTATCGGAAAAAAAAAAAAACGATACCCAACCCTACTCATTACTATGAGAAACTAAGCCATTATTACAATAAAGTTTCTTATTATTACGAGAAAATGTCTTATTATTACAAGACACTGTCAGGATTCCTCAAATCTTGCCCTGGAGGGCCAATGCGCTGCAGAGTTTAGCACCAACCCTGATCAAAGTCACCTACCTGTGATTTTCTAATGATCCTGAAGACATTGATTAGTTTACTCAGTTGTGTTTGATTAGGGTTAGAGCTAAACTCTGCAAGAAAGTGGATCTCGTGGGCTAGATTTGAGGATCCCTGCACTAAGTCATTATTATGAGAAACTAAGTCATTATTACAAGAAGGTTTCTCATTATTTTGATTTATTAAGTCATTATTATGAGAAAGTTACTTATTATTTAAGAATCATATCATAATCATATCATATCAGAATCATATTTTTTACTTGACTGCGGTGGAAATGGGCTTCCATAACATCCCTAGGTTACGACTGTAACCATGGTTCCCTGAAGGGAACAAGATGCTACATCAGAAACACTTTGGGAACGCTTTAAAACGGATGAAAACAATGCCAGCTTCTGATAGGATGAACCAAGCACTCACAGGGATGCAGGAGGTATGACAGGTTGACGCAGTGTCTGGTTCCCTTTTGTGAACCATGGTTACAGTCGTAACCTAGGGACGTTCCTCTTCAGGAACTCGAGCTGTGTCGGAAACACTTTGGGAATGAACCCACGTAAAGGCCTGAAGGTCACCAACTCTCTTGAGAGTCATGTCAAAACTTTTACAAAACCTCCTCTAGAGGTTCAAAAGCGGCCTTAGTTAGCCCTCGTGCGTAGTGCAGGCCTCAGCCTCAAGGCACCACAAAGGAAACATGACACCAACGGGTTCCTTCCCAATGACTGACCTTCCAAAAGGGTGTGGTAAGCAGATATAGCTGCCATGTATACATTAAGGGTGGAAGGAGATAACTCTGTGGAGAAATATTCTTGCATCTTGCTTATCGCGTTTGGTCTCGTACTGTATCGCGTACCTTGTCAGTGTCGTGCGCTTTGCTTGGCCATTTGTTGTGATAAACAGCTGCGCGCATGCGCATTAAACAGATGGAACACAGAATAATTGCCAATAATTCTGAATAAAATATGCATTCTGCTAAAATATTTGTTGTTAGACATTAAATGTGACACATGTAGAATTTTAATCCTACATATAAGTATATTTTTATGATAGCAGTAACTGTAAATCAAATGTAAGCTAGCTAATACAGCCCTAATTAGCTCAAATTAGTTAATGTGTATTCCTCTTATCATGTAAAATATTTAAAATTGCGTTTGGTCTCGTACTGTATCGCGTACCTTGTCAG